GAGGAAGGCTCAGGGCTAGAAGGCTGGTGATGAACAGATAACCAATAATTTCCAGATTTCGATACATCAGCGATTTAACTCAGAATCAGAAATTTGGGTAGGTCCAAATTTAGAGTGGGGGAAAAAAAAGTCTGAGGTCACAGCAAAATCATTCTTATCCCAAATGGTTAAAACTCTAAACCCATTAAATACAGTGGAACCCAGATCATTGGTATTGGGATGGCTCACAATCGCTTAATTCAGAGCCAGCTGCTGAATTTGGGAAGATCTACTCAGCTACTTGCTGCAGCATTTCACTTCAAAAGGTTCGGCTCTCCAGTCAGCCAGAAGTTATCAGTGATCATGCACAGCTGACTGCAGGAAGCAGCACCTTATGAGAAAACCTGTACACACAGCTGGAACACCCCATGGTCACACACAACTCTCTGCTATGGCTCTGTGTACCCCTGGCGGGTTCACAAACCCTCATCTTTACAGGTGAGGTAAGGAACCTAACCCACAGAAACAGCTAGCTTCTATGGTATCACATCTTTTCCTCCATTTAACATCTTAATAGAGGACAACTGCATCCTACATCAAACTGCAGAAGATGCACTTTAAAAAGCCAGGCAGAGAGCATCCCCCACTAATAGCTAGAATAAGCTGTTTAGTGAATTAAATAAATGGCAGTAAACTACTCATATTTCCTAAATAGCACCCCCTTTCTCTCCTTTTTGTGTGAGAGTGTGTTAAGGTGTTTTCACTACAGCACCTGAAGTCATAACCCAGACATCGACATGTAGGGGAGGGCATGTTCAGGGGACTTGTAAGCAGTTACTCTCACACAGCTGTTAGTGGTGGAGAGTCTCCTTTTTGCTGCACAAGTGATATTCAAAATTCTTAAAAAACAGGGGGAAAGTATTCAGCTGGCAATTATCTAAAGCAGGGGTGTCAAATACACAGCCCACAGGATAGATCTGGCGCACAGAACTGGGTCATCTGGCCTGCAAGTTTTGTCCTGTCACTGGCTGCAACCAGGGACCTTCCTGCACCAGCAGCCAAGCACCTGGGTGAGAGCTGCAGGGCAGGAGCCCCAGCAGCACCATGGGAACAGGCCCAGCACTGTGGCTTACTCTTGCAGCAGAAGCCATACACCTGTGATACCAGGATTTTTTCTGCAGCGCTGCTGGGGCTGTAGCATTGCCGCTCTCACCCAGTGGCTGCCTGTTGCAGTGGGAACAAGCTGCAGTGCCCCAGCACCACCGCGGGAACAAGCCGTCCACTTGGCTATAAGTACCATCTGTGCGTCAAGTATGCTTGGCAAAAATATGCATCTCTTGGTAGTCACTCGTCAGCTCTGAAACACTCTTCCCATTGAAGCCTATCAGAGCCCAAGCCTAGACAGATTTCAGGAGCAGAGTAAGACTTTCCTGCTTAGGCAAGCTATTAGCAGGCAGATGTTACGCTTTAGGTTATTGACTGGGGAAGCGTCTTATAATTTAAGGTTTTATGACTTATTGGAAGCTGCCCCGAGCCTTTTCTGGAGTATGCAGCCATCCCAGTTACCCAAATACTAAACTAATAAATAACCTTAAAATAATTAACTTTTAACTTCCTAAAATGCCTCTGGGTTATTCATCTTTAGACTATAGTCTTCTGGATGTATGACTTACAGTACTTCATTGAACAGGATGTGGGAATGAGCCAAAGGATAGAGCTAGATAATCCTGAAGTGTTTTCTAATGAGCTTTTGTAAATGGATTTTGTTTATTTTACAAATTGGGAAATCGAGGCAGGGAGATTAAATTTAAGACTTCCCCTCAACCACCCAACAGGCCAGTGACAAACCGAAACAACCCAAAGTCTCCTGTGTCCGAGACCAGTTAATTATCAAGGGGGCCACACAGTTATCTTGGTGTCAACTGACTCCCCCTACCCATCTTTGGCAAATTTCTGCATCAGCTCCCCATGCTGGATATTGAAATAAGCTCATCTATTTTCCAGAGTGGCCTGACAAGGATTATATCTATAAAACACACTGAGGTGCAGCACTCCATAACTACCTACTTCTCATTTTTATGGGCTCTAGAACAGCCTGTCCTAGTTAACATACCCTAAACCAGTACTTCCTAAACATTTCTGCAGCACGGGCCCCCACTGCCAATCCACAGTCTGCCACCCCTGCGACCCCATCTGCTGATGTTGCAACCCCACTTGGGGTCATGACCCACAGTTTGTTATAGTTAGACTTTAGGGCAGAGGTTCCCAATCTCATGGGTGATGCATAACCCTAGGCATGCTTCAGTCCACAGATGTCACCCAAACACACATTGGACACTGACAGTAAAAGTGAAAAAGAACCCATATGCTACTCACACCAGGGCCTATATAGAACAAGCCGGGGTAGAGATGCACCTTATAGACTACCAAGTTATGTTCCCACTGGCCCTCCCTACAACTAACCTCTAGGGAGTTTGCATATGTCGTCATTATTCCTGCACAAACAGGTGCACAAGACAGAGGTCAAATGGTACCAATATTCCAGGTTCACGTTTCCATCTCTGTTACATTCAGATTAAAGCATTGTGAGCTTCAAGGTCAGCCTCTCTTCTGATGCCAAGAGTCAACAAAAAGAGTTGTCTAGATCACCTAATACTAGGGTCTCTTCTTTCGGGCTAAATTTGTATCATTTCAGGTAATAGGGCCCATTGTAGGAGCTCTTCATTACCTATTTCATGAGTCCATTTGACTTTGTAATAATAAAAGTTCCCTTCCACCACTGTATTGGGCAAAATAGCAAAACTAAGAAAGGTAGAAGAGAAACCTGGTCAAGCCTTGAGTTACAAAACAGGGACAAATCTCCTTGCACTAAGTTTAAGAGAAACCCACGGATCACTAGAAGTATTATCAGCAGAAATAAAGCCTAACACGTCAGAGAAACAACTCATTTTTTAAAAATCTGAGCTGTTTAGTCTTGTATTGTAGTGCACTGTGTTCAATGCATATTACATACTACATTAAATAAGGTTTAGATGTTCATGTTCAGCACTTAATAATAGTATTGGCAGGATACCAAATCTGAAACTAGTATGAAGGGAAACTCATTTACTAGAAGTTTTAGAAGAATTGAAGGTGAGGAATCTAGAGAAATAAAATGGTTTCCAGATCTCTTAATTTACATACTTTAAACTGAGTAGCAGATTGGGAATAAATTTGACTAGCTACCATGACTTTTTTCATCCTGGGATTGTGCATCTCAGAATGCTTTTGCCAGTTGGTGCTTATAATGCAGTTTGTTTCCTGTATTGTTTGCTTGCATGTGCATGTATATATAGCAAAAGAAACAATTTGGTAAACCATGCCTATCTGTTAAGATAGGACAGCTATGGGTAATACCTATGGTTTATGGCTAGGGACCTACCAAATTTGCAACTTTATGATTTTCATAGGAACTGCAAATTTGGTAGGTCCCTAGTAAAAAAGCATAGGGATTATCATGAAAATGCTAGAAAACAGCCAGTATGTGTGTGTGTGTCCATGGGGGGGGAGGGGGCGTGGCAGGGTGAGCTGAAAACAGGTGGGAAGCCCTGGCATCCTGAAGCACAGGGGAGGGAGAGGGGATTTTTGCAGCACAGCAGAATGAGCCACCCCATACCTGATTGGCTGAGGGGCCCCAGAAGTCCTGCCCCTCTCCGGAGATTGACAGATGGCCATTCACCAATGTCCAGGAAGTGGTGGGACTTCTGGGGCCCCTCGGCCAGAGGCATGGGGCGGGGGGGCCCAGCGTACTAGACTGCAAAAGTGGCAACCAGTGTTGCGCTCAGACCACAAAAATCGGGGGGCAGCCCCTGAAAGTTACGTAGGTCCCTAACTATGGCTAATGTGATGCTTACAAGTTTTCCTTACTCTAAAATACAAGATATATTTTGGCACCCAGTTACAAATACAAATTAGTCGGGGTGAAGAAACATTTAAGCAGTAGTGGGTTAAAACCACAGATGCCAGTGACACCTCAAACTAACAAAGCATGAAGTTATACAAGTTGCTGGCATCAAGCAAGCTCCAGTATTGGCTCCAAGCAGTGTGTTCGAGGACTCTAGCTCACTTCATCCAAGTATGTATTATATGCTTGTTAGCCAGCTCCTTGAGTGCCACACGAGGTTTCCAGTGGCAGTTTCAAATGGGATGTTGGGAACAGGTCCAAGAGACCATATGGGTGCCACTTTTCTGGACATGTGTCAAGTACTGCATCACTGAAGCAAGAGTCTTTTTGTACAATGATTAAATAGCCTTGTAAGAATAAAAGGCTTTGGCAAGTACATTCGGGTGGTATTTGAATTAATCTTAGGCAACAATGGGCCTGTACAGTACCAATATTTCATTTCCCAACAATTTAGAGTATGAGAATTACAAAAATTAGGAATGTTTTACAAAAAGGGCTCTCAAAGTACTCAAGCTTCTATATCAGTGGTTCTCTTTGTCATTAGACTCAAGTCACCCCTCGGAGAATGCCAGCTTTTAGCTTTCACTCCTTTCTTGTCTATGGAAAAATAAGAAAGGATTTTTCCGTTGCAGAAACTCAGGAAGACCACAACAGGTCAGAATGTTTGGATGCTATGCATTTCCATTTGACATCTTGGTTTATCTTGTAAATTATGTGTAGGTGTTTACACACCTAACAGTGTTAGTATTGTGCATCACCCTTAAAAGAATCTTGTGACACCCTGGTTGAGAATCACTGCCCTATATATTTAGTTTAAAAATAAAATATATACTGCCTCATTTTCCAAAAAATGGAACCTGTGAATATTACATACTTTCCTGGAGGAATACATCCAAGAAGATCTCACAAAAGAAAGTCCAACTACTGGTGTATTTTTCCTCTTGGGCCAATACGAAAAATGTTGTAACAGACAAGTTCAAGCTTCTTTACTTTATACAAGCTAACCAGGTAAATTCAGTTTGTTAGCACTCAATTTGTGCAAAACAAGTAAAATTTGTAACATGAAAACAACATTGTATGTATACAATTATATATTTATTGTATTTAAGACAAAAAGTATGACGCACCAAGATTTTCAGCTTATACCAAGAAAGTGTGTTGACCTTAAGAAGCTAGTTTTGTAATTATCATATTGTTATATAAGCTCAAAGTGAACATGTATTTAGCTTAAAAACAGAGGAAAAACATATATACAGAAATAAAATGTGTTGGATACTTATAACCTTAAAGTGTAATTGTCAGGTTAACAGACCCAAAATGTTAAGTTTTGTGAAAATGTTTTACAAAATTGGAAACAATGGAAATATTTAAGTACTTACATTTCAAGGTGATTTTTTTTAATTAACAGAAATCAAAGTAGTGTGCAATTTAAGGAATTGGAGTGAAAGCGACCAGTTAATTTGCAATTGAAAATTTGATGAACTCTAAAAATTTTTAAAAGCATAAAATTAGATTTTCACATAAGGTTCTAATATCCCCAAATCTTAAAACAGGAGAGGAGACTTGTTCGAAAGTATGCAATTGTAACCTGACAATAACCCTTTAATTTTCCACAAAAGAAAATTTCATATACTCTCACGTTTCCATGACAACATAACATCGACTTAGTTTCTTTTAAAGCTATCACAGCAGAATTCTAAATATTCATTATAACTTAAAAGTGAGAAACTGCACCAAACTAGGTAAGGCATTTGAAGGTAACCTTATGTGATGGACACGAAAAAGTGACAAGTTCTCTGTATATCCCTGCAATTATGAAAAAGCCATAGCATTTATTGCAATACATCACATTTTTTCAAGTGTCCCTACAGTTTCTCTCAGCTTTGTAAGATTTGAAACGTAAAGTGATTTTGTTTACTGGGCTACAGTCAAACTGTAGTGAAATGGATTTTCTAATTTATTTAGGTTTCTCTAGTAGTCATGGACAGAAGACACGTGGACTGATTGAGAGATGCTTGGCCATAACAAAAATGTGATTATCTACAGCACATAACTGCAACTTGAGAAAACTGATGCCCTCTGCCCCTCCTCTCCCTTCCAAGTGGTCAATGCTTGAAATCAGGGGAATGACAACAAGAATAAAGAGGAATATTTATTCCTATTTATGGAATTTTTTTTGCAGGCATACAAAATAGGGAACAGATTAAAAAAGATAATTAGCATACATATGTGAAATTTTAAGCTCTTTTTGGAGGTACCATCATTAATAAAACTTTAAATAGGTTTTTTTGTTTGTTTGTTTTTTTTACAAACCTACCAACATAAGATTTCCTATGAAGGATTACAGAGAAATGGACAACCTCAATCAAAGTTCAAGCCAAAAAGAGACATTTTTGTAACTTAAAATTTGAGTGTTCTAAATTGGAACACAGAAATATTATAATTTAAAGCATATGCAGTCATGGAAACCTCAGTACTGTGATTATGGGAGACCTGCACACATTTGAAATAGTTACTAATTATGGTTCCAAAAATAAATACAGTTGCATTAATACTGTGTTGCAGTTGAGCTTAATAAGATCACCTAAGAATGCTCATTTGAGTTTCAACCTTGCAAGGTGCTCAGCATCTTTTATGGTTGCCCAGCTCTTTGCAGGATTGATACCCTATATGCAATCTTAATATTTGTTACGGCTACTAAGCGTTCAGTAAATCCTTAGTAGCAAGTCAGTTTAATGCGGAGACTAAAGCACCAAAATATTTTTGGCTCATTAAAATACATTCAGCTTTTTTTCTTGTTCCCAACAGGTGCAGACTCAGTTAAATATTGATTTAATCAAGTAATGGAATATAAGAAGGTCAGGAGGAAGTCTAGTGCTGTTTTCAACTGCTGGTACCAAACAAAGATAACATACAAGTAAGCCTCCAAGACTAAAGTCAGAAGCATCTAACACTGCCTTGCAAGTTGTCTTTGACATTATTTACCCATTGTGTACTCTAACCACATTCAGTCTCTGGATCTATTATTTGGCTTTCAGTAAGACAGCTATGACTACCAGAGGAAACAAATGCTAGATTTTGTAGCACATTATTGTAAGAAATCATTTGAAAATTAAAGTGGCATTGGAGAGGAGCAGAAGTGCAAAATAAAAAACACATTGGTTAAGTATTTATTTTCCCCCTCCCCAACAGAAACACAAAGAATATTCAAGTGTGTTTTAATTCAGTCCCATTAACTGAAGGGAACACTAACAAAAATATGCAAATAGGTAAAATAGCACAACAAGGGTAGTGACCCTTTTCAAATATCTAGCAGTTCAATGCAGATCTGTGACAGAAATGACCCTTGCTATTGTCTACACAGGAAACTTAACATCCTTGCCAACACCGGTCTCAAAGCATGTCCCTTGCTCTCTGTACGCTGCCTCCCATCTGTGGAAGCAGTGAAAGTACTTCAGGTGACCTAGATTACTACTGCTGGGCAACAGGGCCAATCAGCCCATCCCCAAGCTAACTAGTCTACCTGTATGGTAACAGCTACACTGCTTCCAATTTACTCTCAGGGGCAGCAAGTTTACCACAGACCTTGCCTTCATAATTTACAACTTTTTTTTGTTGTTGTTGAAAAAGAGAAAAAGTTGTGGAGGGGGAGTTTCACTTTGATGCAGGAAGAGCTTTGGACCTCTGAAGTGTCACAGAAACTTTAATAAGAATATTTTTAGGAGGATTGATATAAACAAATTCACTCAAACTTGTATGGAGCCTTAGATGTGGGAGGAATTAAAACAAGTTTTATTCCAAGGCAGAGAATAGGAGTTATGGGGGTCTTCATAAGATTGTGTTCTGTACTCCTAAAACTCTGACTGCAATGATGCTTAGCAAATATTACCCACTCATATTGCAGAACCTCCCCAACCCCAAGTACATATCTGCCCAGTAATCAGGACACTTTTAAATTATGCCAGCATATTTTAAACCAGAGACATACTCTTCAGTGTCACAGGTCATTTGTGCCCTACTTTTGAAGAGTGAAGTTTTCATACAGACACAATATAAGATGACAAAGTATAAAGCAGGAACTTTATCCTTTAGGTCATCTTGTGTCAACCTAATTTTGTAGCATTCAGTACCTCAAAAGCTTTGTTCCTTTAAAGCTGAGAATAAAGGAACTCAAGGGTTAATGAAAAAATCTGGAAAAAAATATTTTTAGAGCAGTCATAATACATGCCGATTTTAAAAACTGTGTTTGAAGAACTTGAGCAGACTATTTTCCTAAAGATATTTCCTGTGAGGTAAAAAACTGAGTTGAGATAGTTTCTTTTTTATACGGTTTCAAATTTAAAGGGGGCAAAGAATTATTTCCATATTAGACCAAAACAACAGCTTACAAAAAAAATACACAAGCAAGCTTTCCAATACTAGGTTTTTAAAACCCACAAGTTGGCACCAAGTTAAAAGGAGCATACTCTTGAACATGTGGGTATGGCTACAGCTAAAATCTGATAAGCTGGTTTCTCTGTCTAAAGCCTGCAGTAGACCTAAAATGTCCAGCCCCCAAGTCCCAGATCCCCTCTGCTGTGGCAAAATTTGGGTAGGAACTGACTTCAGAGTATCACTACTAAGAAGCAGCCATGAAATAAACACATCCGGAATCTGAATCCAACTGAGGGAATACAGAGAAGGAGACAGTGAAGGTACACTTGGGTGCAATTTCATGCTGGTGATTTTTTTTTTTTTTTTTTAAATGTAAGCAGCTAGGCTTAGCGCAGATTTTAAACGAGAAGTTTCATATTCAATGACACACACACATTACTCAGAACTTAAGTGACTATTAGCACATTGGTACACATGCTTACATAAAACTTAGTGAGAAGTATATACATGTTCTAAACAAACGTTCATTTTAACAGTTGAAATATTTCATAACACAAAAAAGCGTATCAGTTACTACAAAAAAATGCAAAACAGGATCACCAAGTTTCCACAAGCATCATACGCATTTTAAAGTGCTTTCTGGGTGTTTCAAATTAACCCCATTCAATATGATCCTGTATAGTGCTCTTCCAGTCATTACATCATTAATTTAATTTTACTTGTCTTTTCAGGTGCACTGTGAATTCAAGAAAAAAACTGATGACCTATTACTGATCCACAATATTTATCTTCTACCAGTATAATCATATACAGTGTTAAACAAATTTAGATGAAATTCTCAAATACTTTGGTTTAACCTTAGTTCGGGATAATTATTTGATGAAACAAAAATCATATCCCTCCACCCTTTGATCTAAAAAGGGACATAAAATTGACAGGATTCTTTGGTTAAAAAACACAAGATTTGGGGATTTTAGATGTGTGTGTGCTTATTAAAAGAGGTCTTAACAAATGATGTTGCTACACTGCCAATTTACACAGCCTAAGAACTACTCCTGATATAGCAGAGAATATCAAAATATTGATTTAATCTAGTAAATCAGTTCTACAGGTTGAAACATCATCAGCAACCTCTACAGGGGACTAGAAGTATCTTTAAAAACTTTACCTGTTTTTCTGCCATTTATTTTTTTATGTTGTAAATACTTCAAACTGCTTAAATTTCATGACATACAATTATTTTGCAGTGACCATCAAAACATTATTCAACAGTGTACACTGTTTGGGTTCTCATAAAAAATGTAACATTTAAGAGTCAGAGATATTGTGCTCTGACAAACCAATACTTAACTGCACAGAATTTGTGCAGTAACTATACTAATTACTAGGAAAAGCCTATTAAAAATTCAGTTAACTGCTACAAGTTATGCAAATATATAAAAACAGAGCAGATATACAAGTATAACACTGAACATACTGTACTTTATTAGCACAAAAAGGCAGAACAAGGCACAGCAAGCAGAAAAATACATCAATAGAAGGGTTAGTGTTGCATACAAGAAGTTATTATTCTTGTATCTGCAGCCAAAAGATTCCCTACCTCACATAATCACTGCCATAGAGAAGTAAGTAACATACTGTAGTAACTGGTAAAGAAACTAGGGAGCTCACAACTGGTATAAAATATAAAAACAGGGTACTGCATATAGCAATAAAATTTTAGTGCAAAAAATGTCTGACAGTACAGTTTAAGTTCTGTCCAACATTAAATACGCAAAAAGAAATTAGATTTTTTCCCCAGGTAGACTGCTGAAATAGTATCAGTGTACAATATTAAATATTACAGAAAGTGCTAATGGAAAAATGTTATAGTATTTCTAAGTAACAGTACCTTTGAAAATTGATTTATTTGTCTAAGTTTTTTTTTTTTAAACTTGCATGAATAAGTTTTAATTCAATTATTCAGCTATGATGCATTTCTCTATAAACAGTATTAAATACAGTTTTCATTAAACATTAATCATTTACCTCTTTCAACATAATCTTCCATCATAAATTAGAACTTTTTGTTGGGTAACTAATTCTTATATTTTGTCAAAAATTATAAACTGCTTAATTTACAATAGCAATAGTCCAATTTAAACTAGCTTTGGATTCAAGATTTTTTTAAAATTTGGGAGGTTACGTTAATATTAGTCTTGCTAACAGTGCCATTTAACACTGAAAGAGTTGTAAATAAAATTACACCACTGATTCAACATAGTTAAGTGCTCATAATTTGGAAACCTGATGCACTAACAGAAGTGGGAATTTTGGTTGTTGGCATAAAAAAAAAAACCACCAATTGCTCCGCTGTTAATGAATCACACTTGAAAATACTTTTTTATTTCCTGGCATGTGAAAACTTATTTATACAGTATAGATTAGTCTTAAAGACTAGATTTTTTTTAAAGTTATTTAAAAACAAGAGACCTCAGGATCACATTGGAAATGCTCATTCAATAAAACATTTTGTTCATTAGCATTACATTGGATGCCTTATAGAAAATGCCCCATAGTTGCTTCACTCAATTACTACAGCTATAAAAAAGGAAAATGTATTTAGAAATTAGCAAAAGTATTTTAATATTGGCCTTAATGAAAAAACGTGCAGCTTTCCGTCTGCTTATTGTTTCAAGAGGCATCACAACTTGGTTTGATTAACAGCAGGCAGCATCTGACAGGATACTAACACTAGGCTTAAAATACGGTATTGCAAAAAAGCTAAACACTGTTGATGCGCTTGCTGCAGTTAAACTGTAACACACACAAAAAAGCAGGTTCTAGTAAGCTTATTGGAGACTCTGGATTCTGTTTACTTTGCCTTAATCGGTTCCCGTTCCAACCATCGCACCCTGACTTTTTGTTTATAGTGATATTCCTTAAGAAAGTCTTGCAACATTGACGGTAAAGGGAGTTCATCAATTCCATCATACGTAGTGCACCTGCAGATTACTGCCCGGCAGATATACTGCAGACTAAAGGGAAAGGTCCTGTTCAGGGATACAGTAAGTAATGGTTCAAAAAACATACAAGAGCTAGGATCTTTATAGTGTTCTAAAAGCCCTGTAACAGTGGAGGAGTGAAATACACAGGGATCATGAGCATCAAAACTGAAATTGTGATTCCACTGCTCAATACGTGCATGTAGGGATCGGTTATAACGACGGAAGCTCACAGAGAAGAGGTAGTCCTCTTGTGCAGAATCCCTGAGCAAAAAAGTGCCTTCAGGTTTCCCTTCCAGAAGTGCCTCGGCCTCGTAACGGTCCATCACACCCCAGTAACATGGGTTACCTGTAATTTGAAGTAAATCTGGTACTAGGCAGTGTATGTAATCAATCTGAGTGTGCACTTTCCAAGCCCCTTGTCTGCTGATATGGCCATGGCTCTCTCCAGACACCTGCCGTTGCTTCTGCCTACGTGACTGCAAACAGAGGGTTGTTGTGTCCTCTTCAGAGTCACAGGTTCCCTGTGGTGTCACACAGCTGTCCCCAGTCAGCTCAGTCATACCAGGGGCTAACTTTGGTCCCAGTTTGTACAATGGATTAACCTGTGCTGTAGCTTCAAAAGTATGTATTTGGGCATTGGGTGGGGGATCGACCCCTTCTTCAATACTAAGCCTACGTCTCTCTCTCAGTCTATCTTCTTCATCTTCTGTAGAAACCAAGGAAGGATCAAATGTATCAAAAAACGTTGAATGTGGGCTCACAGGAGCTGTATGTTGTTTGATCAGATGCCACTTTTGGGCTAGATCTGATCCAGCAGGAAAAGGACATTTCTCAAGCATTAGTTCAGAGAGATGGATTTTCCTTTTACTAGAAAATAGGGGTTTGCACTGTTTGCTGTAAGTTCTCATGGGAAAACATAATCCAACAGTATCTTGCAGTCTCTGCCGCAGGGAACGGCTACCTACTGTCCTGTTTGATACACTATCCATATCATGCATAGAACTCACTCCGTATCTTCTCTCCCTCCTTTGCAAGCCATTGCGTGTTCTACCAAACCTTTTATCACTATCCAAGGAGCTCTGGGTTTTTGTAGAGCAGGAATGTTTCTTCTTCCCACCCCAAGGAGCATGCCGAGAGTAAGAGTCCCTTCGTGCCAGTCTAGCTCCTGTGGGAACACACAACTCATTTTCTTTCTCAATACTTATTTCAACAATCTGAGGGATCTCAGTGACACAATTCTGATTTCGTCTAACTGAATTCTTTGAAGGACTTAACCCTAATTGTAAGGCAACATTCTCTCTTAAAGGGCTGCTGGGTTGCTGCTGAGCCAAATCAGGTACATTGACACTTTTATCCTTAACAGATAAACATCTACTGGATTTCACAGCTACATCATCATTTCGGTTTCCACTTTCATGACTGAAGAGATTTTGGCATCTGTATTTGAAGTTGTTCCACATCTTTCCCACCTTATCCATGGATTGTGTTACCTACATTTAAGAGAGGAGAGGAAAAAGATTTTAATTAAGTTCAACTTTCTATTTTTAGGAAAATAAGTTATTAGTGTCAATGATTTAAAGTTACAGGTATGGAGAAGGCATTTAATTAGAAGACAAACACATTATGTTACTTCTTGCACCGTTCTACAGCACCAATATATATAGATTGCAGTGTTGGTATCCTTAGAAAACAAATATAAACAGTATTAAAAACCCACAAAACTACTTTTCAAACAGATCAGAAGCTATGGTAAGTAACATCTTCTCACCTTACACACAAACCCTACCACTTCACCTCAAATTAACAGACAACACACAAAAGCAGAGGTTGGCAAACTACAGACTACATGGGACTTTGGTAGCATTTAGTGTTAGGAAGCTTTGGCAGTAAGTGTTGTCCCCACGCTGCCAGAGGAATAAGCACTGACTGCTGCCGAGTCCTAGCACCTGCCAACCTGCAGCCTGGGGTGGGTCATCCTGGCCCACAGCTGGAAAAGGTTGCCTACCCCTTTAGTAGCCACTATTTCAGAGGTTAATTCTTAAGTTGCACTTTCTGCTAAAAAGGTGCATCACTTAGATTTCAATTGCTTCGTTCTGAATGTTATATATAGAGTATATAGCTACTGGGAACAATTTATATAAGATAACAGGACTCTCTATAAACCTGATTTTTCAAAATCAGAACAGAGGAAAAACAAATATGGGGGAGGAGGAGAAGGGCACTGAAAACTTCAGTAAAGCAATTACCCTTCTCACTCCTCCCAGAAAAACAAAAACAAAAAAATTGGAAATCTACTTCCTTCCTACCCGAAAAGGGCAAGGACTCTTTCTGTAAAAGTAGTTGCATTCTTTAAAGTATTTGCAGTCTGAAAAAGGAAAAATGTGTGACAGTTTCAGGTTTCAAGCTATAACGCCACCTCCCCCACCCCTTCATTTAGTTTTGCATAAGTAGTATGAAAGGTTCATCTGGACAGACAGGAAATAAGAAAGCCTTACCAGAAAGAGGCAGAAAGACACTTATGAAAGCTTAAGATGTCAAAAGTTGAAGATACTGTAGTAAAGCTTCAAGTGTGAAATGCCTTAAGAAGAAAAAGGCAGCCCACATGATTATTTAAGGGGGCAGGGTGGAAGAAATAAAGAACCAGTGTTAGAGCAGGAAGCCTATTTTCTACTTAGAGCATTGTATACAGCTAGTTCTACAGTAAGAGATTAGGACATGGTGAGTTTCCAAGTTGTTATCAGAAAGTGATGCCAACATCAGCAGTAACCAAACTGAAATCACTTCTTTAGAAACTGAATCTGATGACCCAAAATGCAGGCATGAAAAACATGGGAGCTACCGGGAACAATTTCTGACTAGCATACGTTCATCTAGTTATTTGACTGCTATTCTATTATTTTCTAAGCAGCTACCAGAAGTGAATTCCTGTTACAACAGGCAGAAAACAGACAATAGCTTCAAATAAGCTTTATTGCCAGTATTCAAGAACAATTCTACTTTGCTGGAGACACCACCTGGCAAGCAACTCCAAAAGGAGGTGGGGGATCTAAATACAAAAACTGGGAACAAAACTCAAGAACTGTTAAAAAAAAAAAAAAAAAGTCCTTTTATACAAAGGCAAAAGGGCCTGGTGACAGCAGATGAGAACAAGGCAGCACACCTAGTCAACACTGGGCCTGCCCCAACTTTGAGGAATACAGTAAGTGTAGGCAGGAAAATGATTTTGTCATTTTTCATTCTGATTGATGGATGGATGTACTGATATGGACAAACTGTTTGTTCTGGCTCAGCATTTTTATCCTGCTTGCATCTTCCACAGCGAAACCTTTAACGGGGCCAAATCCTACTGGGTCTGTTGCAGTAAATGGTTGGTAAATAGGTGCGTTGTAGCCTGCACACTCTTTAGAAGAGGATGCGTCACAGGATAAGTTTTGAGTGACATGCAGGCATGCTGCCACTTTAAAGGATATGCCCAGGAGAGACTGAAGGGGATGGGGAGATCAAATGTATTGTTTACTCTGCAACAATAAAGATTCATAAATGAGGAACACTAACGGGTTACTTAGAGCAGCTGCAGCTTTTGGTAAAACATTTAAGAAAATATAACACAAAAAAGGGTAAACCACAAGTCTTCGTAGAACCTCAAAGACAGACGTCAGTAATTGAGTACAGAGTGGGGGGTGAAGGAGGAAGTGTAAAAGAAGTCAAGTTAGGGCTAAGGCTAAGAGCATCTATACAAGTGCTCAGGGGTGGAGAGGGGGGCACTTTAATTAGAGCTCTAGTTAAAGTGCCCCCACCGCCATTTTGAAATGTGGGGACATCGACTACATGTGACAGGCTGCTGAAGCGTGTTAATTAGCATGCTCCAGCAGACTTGATTAATCAAGTCTGCTCCAATGCGCGCTGATTAGCGTATGTCAAAGAAGAGGTCTGCTGTGTATAGGTACCCTAAGTGTTATAATGCTCCCTGAAGTTCTTGGAAGAAACTACCTAAAATAATGACTCCCATATGCTCTGTAACTAGACAGTGCTAAAACAGCCAATGATTTGAAAGAACAGAAAGGATGTAATAATAATAATAATGGGGGGAGAAGACACAAAACAGAAGGGCCCTGAAAAGAAAGTCATCTGTTTTTACTGTTACAACTATACATAACAAAATTTTAGCAGCTGCTACAGAATCTCTCTCCTTTCTTAAAAGATCCTATGAATGCTCTACCCTTATATATACACTCAACATAACACAAGAGGCGGCAATACCTTCCAGCCTCAAAGGCTTTCTTTAAGGTGACTTCTCTTACCTAAATTCCAGGCCAAGCACTTCAAAGAGGGGTAAGTACATATTTGGGTGGAGAAAATTAAATCAGAATCACTTTCTGGACTCAAAGATCACTCAGACAAGACATCTTGAAGGATGCAAATATGCACACAAGTAACTGGCATCTTTTACTCCCTGTAAGGCAATTAGCTCTTCTTTTTCATTTTAGTTGTAAATGCTATATAGGCTGTAGGTTCATCACCATAGCCATATGAAAGAGGAATGCAGGAAGTGTGCTATTTTGAACAGATGCTGCTCTCTCTCTCAGGATTATGTACAGTATATTTGCCTTTTCTGAACTGTGAAATAAATATGGTAGCTTTCTTACCCAAAAAAGGTTTATAAGCCACTCTGTCCTGTCTTGAGACTCTACCTCAAGATGTACTTCCTGGATTCCTTGTCCAAGATGTGGATGACATGATTACTATAAAAAGGAAGACAAACAATATTTTAGTAATGCTAAAATATACCTTTACTTACAAAGGTAAGAATTTCCACTTCACTGAAAATTGTACTTCAACTGTTACATATACAGTAATTATCAGGCAGATAATTTGTTGTGGCAAGAAGGAACTCAAACAGCTTTTCTTCATTTCTAAATCTGTTAACCCCTGTAGTGAAAGAACCTTGTGGAAGATGCCAGAATGAAATTTTGTACACAGTTAGGCCAAAGCTAGAAGCATGTGGATTCTTGATATTCCTGAAGCAATGGGCATACTGGTGTACCTCATGAAAAAGGTTTCTGCACTTCAGGCCAAAAAGTGTAAAGTAGTGGTTCTCAAGTTGTGGCTTGCAGAGCACTTGGTGGTCTGAAGAGCTGGCAGATCACTTGATGCTGGCTCCCCTCCTTGTTTCCAGCTGCTACATCACATCAAAAGGCAGCTAAAAATATACACTTTCCTAATATTAGTTTTCCAGGTAAGCAACTGCTGTAGTTGCCACAGGGATGTTATATGATTGTAAAGCAAAGGAAATATGATCTATGCTTTTAAGAATGGGAGGGAAAGATAAGATCTTAAACAGATTTTACTATGAATGTTTAGATCAGTGTCTCTCCAAAATGAGGATTATGTTGCCTTTTAGAAATCAAGAAGCTAAGAGGATTTCAGGAGAACATTACTTACAATATATTCAGATGGCAGTCAAGAGTTAATAGCAAAAGGAAAGAAGAGAACTGAAGGATTTAAACTACTGCTTCCCTATGCCAAACTCCTTTTGCAAAGTAAAGAGTTCATCTAGGTACTGAAAGTTCTACAACTGCTCTATACCTTAAAAATCACAAAGCAATTATCTGAACAAGATGTGTATTTATTGAAATATAATGGAAGGAAGCATTTTCATAGATAGCAGCTTCAGGAAAATCAGATGGGATTAACAGCTCATTTGCATAGTATTAAACATCTTCAGTTTCTATTCACTTCCATCGGAACCAAGATGGCTCAATACATCTTAAAAACAGGCTATACACTACAGAAAGTTTTTCAGCAAAAAGGGTAAGCTCTTACAGAGCAAACAGAACTGCAAATGCAAAGCAGTGTTGAAATGTGGATTCAACTAGGAGACAGAACTGTAACTTTGCATGTTTACTTCTTTTACACAGCACCAACAATTTTTGCTTTCAGCAAACGTACAAGGGAAAAAACCAGACAAAATAAAATTACAATGCTTAAATACATGCAGGCCTTAACCAATGCAAAGGAATGACTGAGTAATGATGAAGGAAAAAACTTATGTTGGAAGATAAAATTTGCAAAAATCAAAAAAAGAAAGATAGAGCAATTCAATACAATACTCACTTAGCAGGTGTGTTACCTAGACTAGAACTGGCATATACCTTCTAAATGAAAATGGTACTGATATTTAAAATGTTCACTTTCTAAACACATTTGACAGGACAAGCCAATTGAAAACTGTTCTAACTTTTAAAAAGTATTAACTACATGCACTGTTATCTTGAACTTTTTAACTGCGTGATTTTTTAAGCCTTACACTTTACTCCATTATCCCTCAAACCAGCTCCATAAAAGGTGAAAGGCCAAGTCATTTCCAATCAGAATCTGTCAACACTGTTGGTTGATTGATGTAGCCTTTTGTACAGAGTGGGCTCCATTAAGCAGAGTCTGCTTTAGAAACCATTTAAGTTAGCAGAAAACATTTTTTGAGCTCAGGCAACTATTACAGTTACAGCTCCCTGTCTTGCATTTGAACAAGGTTTGAACCATTCCAGAGACCATCAGATTGCTTTAAAATGAAGTGCAAAACTTGTAGTTAACGGTTTCCTGTGGCTGCACAATATTGACAAAATATGGGTTACTTCTGCAGCAGCTCAAAAGCCAGCTCAATAAAAAACCCTAACACTGCCAAATTTGATAGAAGTACAAACCACTGATGAACTGAAGGAGAGTCTTCATTTCAGCATAGGGACAGCTGTAGAATACCCCCAAACTAGCTTTTCCTAACTAGAAAAAGAAATCTATTAGGCTCAAAAAGGATTTTTCCTATTTGAGTTGTAAAGTTTAAATATGCAGATGGCAGACCAGGGTGGGAGGGGACAGGGGAAATCTGACTCCTTTCAAGGGAATCTTTAAAAAATGTTTTGAATGCAACACAGTAGATTTTTGTCTCTTCAGTAAATGTATATACTGCATTAGTGAAATGTGGCATATACATTTTTAAAATATGACTCAAATTTTATTTTTTTCCTCCATTTAGTTCTGTCAAGTCATGCCTTGTTATGGATTGAGTTCTAACAACCATTTCCACTAATAAAATAGCACAGCAGCTGAACTAATGCTTAGAGGGCTGCCTACTTCTGGCAGAAACATTCTGAGTTAAATTTGTCTCTATGTTAGAGACAAATCTTATAGCACAATGGGTTTATTTCTCAGGCTTAAAAGTTAGTTGATGCAGAGAAAAAAAGTTCAAGACATTAAATCCTTAAATATTGTATAGAAGTTTTGGCCCATGAAAGCTGAAAGAATGCACCTCACCTCCAAAAACCTCTCCTACACATCTATTTGTTACAAAAATTGAAGAAAAAAAATGGAGTCTTGTGGTTTCGCACTAAACATTTCAAAATGAAGAAGCTTTTCACAAGTCATAAATCAGTCCTCTAAAGGGAAAGTAACAAAACAGGTGAAAAAGGTAGGACTGTTCAGGTAGAAATGAGCTAGTATTATTCTACTCCTGCACCTATGATCCTCAGAGAATTGATAAATGTCTAGAGCAGGGGACAGGACGGGAGAAACCCAACAATAACAGTCAGAACAAAATCAAGTGTCTGATGTGGAGAAGCTCAAAGAACACAATATTAAGAATCATACATACACGGTACATACCTTCTGTATGATGCACCAAATTACTATCAGATACATAGTGTTCAATTGTTACCCAAGTTTATCCTTGAATCTTGAACAATTTTTTTTTTTTTTTATATGAGGCAGTCCTTGACTTACAACGTTTTGAGTTACGTTTCACACATACAACATTTATAAGTTGACACCATTTCAACTTTCTGATGTCAGTTTTGACTTTACAATGCTTGATCCTAAGCGATGCTACGCCATGCGACGCCACACCAGTGAACAAGTTCGCTGTGTTGCCCATCACCCTAGAGAATATCTGTCCAAACTTCCTTGGACATTTTCTTTAATAAAACAGATGAGATTCCAGAAGAACCAGCAGTCAAGACCCCAGGCAAGAACCCTTCAAAAAGTCAAATTAAGAGCCCTTCAAAAAGTCCAGCAAAGTCACCTCAAAGAAGCCCTTCCAAATCAATATGATTGCTATTTACAATATAAATACATTAATGTAGGTATATTACTCATCTATAATTGATAGAGTACAAAATTCTGGGGTATTTTTGGTGAAAATAGGGTATCAGGACTTGGTTCAGGAACCAATCCTCCAGTTATAACATTGTTCCTATGGGAAAACTGGTTCCAAGTTATCATGTTTCGACTTAAGATGCAGTTTTCAGGAACCAATTGTGTCGTAAGTCCAAGGAGTGAGTGAGTGAGTATTTTATATATATAAGGGCTTAGTCCATCTGTCTGTCTGGGAGCCCAGTGTGGTGGGGAGGGCAGAAGAAGGGGCCAGCTGAGGAAATGTGGGAGCCAGGCAGCTACTGTGAGGCTACTGTGAGAAGACAATTACCTGGCTACTGTGAGCATTGGCATTATTTGAAATTCATCCGTCATTCTTGATGAGCAATTCGTTAGTTGATAATATACTGTGCTGATGTCAGCTGGGAATTGTAATTGTTTATCAACTGCAAAAGATAGAGGTGACCACAGCAGTTTTTTTTCTCCTATCCCCCAGGTTTGTAAATGGTCTACAAAGGACACTTTACTAAATTTGAAATATCAGTTTTGTTTCTTATTTCTTGACTGGGAATAAAGAATGAGAACACTCCCTTCATTAGCCATTGTTTTTAAAGCAATATTTGGGAATTGCTCAACTGCCTTCCACAATTCCACAAATTGTGTAAAATCAAAGCTCCAATTCAAATGTAGTACAGGCCCACAGAACAAGGTTAAGAGCTAGGACTGACATGAAAAAAGGGCCACTTCTTTGGGTCCTTGACTTTGAAAGCACAACCCCCTACAAGACTAAATTCCTTCACACAAGATTTGCATGAAGCATCCTACTGATCTTGGATAACAGGGGGCAGGTGACATAAATGAAGAGAAAAAAAGATGACAGAGGTACCACAGATGCACCTTACAAAAGGAGCAAGGGAAAACCTGTTACAAGTTGCAAGATATTAGAAAGTACCATCATTTCTCAAATATAACACATCCCTGAATATAATAAGCATCCTGCTTTTGAAAGACAGCATGAAGAAAAAAGGTCTTACAGTAATTGAGTAACAGCACCTAGGGGAAAGGGAGGAAGGATTCCTCTTAAACTTTCCTGACAGCATCTGGCTCCGCACAGCAGCATAGCTGGAAGGGGCAATAACTCCTAAAGCCAACTTGCTTGTTTCCTCTCTCTGTTCCCCTACTCTCTCCCCCCAAATATGCAGACAGACCCAACTTCAAGTCACAGAGCAACGTGAGACAGAGACACTGACTGGCATTCTGGGGCTGTCTACAGCTTTCTTTCTAGCTGCGGGGGTGTGAGACTCAAGGGGGAGGCAGGCAGAGGCTGCCACAATTCAACTCCAGGCACAAAGCCACTTTCCCCTTTTACTAGCACAGGGATGGGTAGGGTTCGGCCGCAGACTGACCCTGCATGCCAAGCTAGGAACCATTCCCAGATCAGATGCAGCATGTGGTCCCAGACCAGATGTGCTGATTCTGACCCCGGCACCATATCTGGCCATGGACTGTCCCCATGCACTGGTTTGATTTGGTGCATGGGATTGTATCACCTGGCTGAGAAGGGTCCCCTACAGATCCTGGATATTTGATGCCCTGCCAG